GTCCACATATGAGTAAGATCATGTGACACTTACCTTTCTCTGACTGGCTTGTTTCACTTAGCATAATACTCTCCAGGTCCCAGCATGCTGTCTCAAAGGGTAAGGGATCCTTCTTTTTTAGAACTGCATAGTATTCCATTGTGTGACGTCCTAGAAGATGCTTGACATGATTTCAGTCTTCTTGAACTTGTAGAGACTTGTTTTGTGTCCTAACCTGTGGTCTATCTTTGAGAATGTTCCATGTGCACTTGAGGAGAATGTATATTCTGCAGCTTTAGGGTGAAATGTTCTGTAAATTCAATTAAATCCATCTGATCTAGCATGCAATTTAGAGTCTGTTTCCTTGTTGATTTTTTGTCTGGGAGATCTTTCCAGTAAAATCAGTGGGGTGTTCAAGCCCCCTACTATGATTGTATTGCTGTCACTCTCTCCTTTAAAGTCCTCCAGAAGATTTTTTTTGGTTTTTTCCCCCAGCCTGTGAGAGTCTTTTGTTCTGAGGTGGGTCTCCTCTAGACAGCATATATTTGGGTCTTGTTTTCTTATCCATTCACCTACCCTATGTCCTTTGGCACATTTAATCCATTTACATTTAAGGTTATTATTATTTTTATTTTTATTTTTATATTTTTTTACTTCATATATTTGTAAAGGTTATTATTGATAGGTACTTATCTATTGCCATTTTATTTCTTTATGCCTGTTTTTATTTCAACTTCTAATTACAGCAGTCCCCGTAACATTTCTTGCAATGCTGGTTTGGTAGTGATAAACTCCTTTAGCCTGTTTTGTTGTTGTTTTTTTGTCTGGGAAGCTCTTTATTTCACCACCTATTTTGAATGATAGCCTTGCTGGATAGAGGAGTCTTGGTTTAAGATCCTTGCTTTGCATTACCTGGAATAGTTCATGCCATTCCCTTCTGGCCTGTAGAGTTTCTGATGAGAAATCAGCTGACAGCCTTATGGGAGCTCCTTTGTAGGTAACCACTTGCTTTTTCCTTGCTGCCTTTAAGATTCTCTTTGTCTTGGATTTTTAAGATTTTAATTATGATGTGTCTGGGTGTGCGCCTCTTTGGGTTCTTCTTGCTTGGGACTCTCTGTGTCTCCTGAACTTGTGTGACTTTTTCCTTGACCAGGTTAGGGAAGTTTTCTGCCATTATTTCTTCAAACAGGTTCTCTAACCCTTGCTTACTTTCTACCTCCTCTGACACTTCTAAGAAGCTCCTGTGATGCAAATATTGTTATGTTTCGTGTTGTCCACAGCTCCCTTAGATTGTCCTCTTGTCTTTTGTTTTTTCTTTTTGGTTCTCTAATTGAATGATTTTTTTCTACTGTCTTCTAATTCGCTGATCTGATCCTCAGCTTCCCCTAATCTGCTGTTTATTCCTCCCAATGTATTCTTTATTTCTGCTATGTCATTCTTCATTTCTGACTGGTCATTTTTCATAGTTTCCATGTCTTTTTTTATGCTGTTGAGCATCCTTACAATCAGTATTCTGAACTCTTTATCTGAGAGATTGTTTATCTCCATTTCACTTAGTTCTTTTTCTGGAGACTTCTCTTGTTCTTTCATTTGGGGTTTGTTTTTATTTGTCTCCCCATTTTGGCTCCCTGTTTGGATTTGTTTCTATGAATTAGGTAGATCGGCTAGGACTCTATTTTTTTGGATGGCGCCTCTGGTGCAGGCCACTGTCAGATGCTGTTTGTGACTAGTCTTGAATACCCCTGTTAGAAGCTTACCGTGCTCCACAGCTCATGGTTTCCTCTGCTGGGACTGAGTGTGTTTGGACGGGACCATGACGTGCACCAGGGTCTGTTTTTCCAAGTTCTGGATCCAGAAGCAAATCAGGCAAAGCACCCAGAGGCTGTTATTCAGTCTCTTAAGGAGCCTCAGGCAGTAGAAACTGCACTTGGTGGGGCAGGTCCAGAGGTTTTCCAGCAGAGTGGGGCAATTCATTCCCCCCAGGCAAAAGCTGCTTGGAAGGTAAATATCTGCCTTGGAAAGATGTCCTTTGCCATATGGGGTAATGACTCAGCACAGGGATCCAGATGGCTGCCCTCTGATCTCTACTCACCCAAGCCAGCAATCCCAGACTGTCCTCACACAGCTCCAGTCCACTCTACCCTTCCTCTGCTGGAGCCCAAGGTGAGTGGCTGCACACGAAACTTTGTGTGTTGTGTCTTTAAGTGGGTACCTGCATTTCCAGCTGTCTCTCCCTGGCTGACAGGAGCCCAGCTGCTTTTCAAAGCCAGATGTTATGTGGGCACCTTTCTCAGTTCTGGTGCTCTTGACGGGAGCCCAGCCTGGGGTTTAGGCCCCAGAGTCCTCAGTGGGAACCCCCCACATATCCCTCTGGACCTTCAGCTGCTGCCTGTGGGCACCCAGCCAGTCCTCTCGTGCCTCCGCAGTTCCTACCCATCTCTGTGCAGTCTCCCCTTTTCCTCCTTGGTTATGAGGGTGCTCTCCAGCTCGTCTTCAGTTGCAGTTGATTATTCAGGATGGTTTTTCTATAGTTCAGTTGTAATTCAGTTTGGTTCTAGGAGAGTGTCACTGTAGCTTCCACCCAGTCTTCCACCATTTTGGAGAAAACTGGTTATTTTTTTAATTATTGATTTTAGAGAGAAAGAAACATCAGTTTGTTGTTCCACTTATTTATACATTAATTGGTTGGTTCTTGTATGTGCCCTGACCAGATTTCGAACCCACAACCTTGGCATATCGGGATGACTCTCTAACCAGCTGAACTACCAGCCAGGGCCATGTGCTTATATCTTCTTTGGAGAAATGTCTACTTAAGACCTTTGCCCATATTTTAATTGGGTTTTTGTCATTTTGCTATTGAGTTATGGGATAGTTTCTCCTATTCAGTGGGTTATCTTTTTCACGCTCTTGGTAGTGTCATTTGGTGCACAGAAGTTTTCTTTTTTAAAATTCCCTCCCCTGCCTCAAGGATATTTTTTCCATTGCTTTTCAGAGAGTGGAAGGGAGAAAGAGAAACATCGGTGTGAGACACATGGACTGATTGCCTCTGGCACAGGCCCTGACTGGGGCCAGGGATTGAGCCCGCAACCAAGGTCCATGCCCTAGGCTGGAATCAAACCTGGGACCCTTCAGTCCGCAGCTGACACTCTGACCACCGAGACAAACTGGCCAGGGTGTAAAGTTTTAATGTTGAAGTCCAATTTACCTCTTTTTACTTTCATTGCCTGTGCTTTTGTGTCATATTTAAGAGACCATTGCCAAACCCAAGATCATGAAGATTACCCCTGTTCTCTTCTAAGAGCTTTATTGTTTTAGCTCATATTCAGGCCCGTGATCCATTTGAGTTAATTTTCGTATGTAGTGTACATTAGGGGTCCAACTTCTTTCTGTGTGTGGATATCATTTCCCAGCACCTTTGTTGGTGAGACTGTCCTTTCCCCATTGAATATTCTTGGCACTCTTGTCAAAAATAGTTGATTGTACTTTCTGAGGCCTTATTTCTGTTCTCTCAATTTTTGGGTTTGTTTTTTGTTCTGTTTTTTAGTTTTTTAAATATACCTTTATTGATTTCAGAGAGAGGAAGGGAGAGGGAGAGAGAGAGTTGAAACACCAATGAGAGAGTTCTCATTGATGATTGGCTGCCTCCTGCATGATCCCGCTTGCAACTCGGGCATGTTCTCTGACCAGGAATTGAACCGCGATCTCCTGAATCCTAGGCTGATGCTCAACTGCTGAGCCATGCCCAGCCAGGCTGTTCTCTCAATTCTATTCAATTGGTCTTCATGTCTGTCTTTATGCCAGTACCATACTGTTTTGATTATTGTAGCTTTGTAATAAATTTTGGATTCAGGAAGTGTGAGTCCTCCAGCATTGTTTTTTGAGATTGGATATTCAGTGTCCCTTGAAATTCAATGTGAAATTTAGGACTTTTTTTCTGTTTCTGCTAAAAACACCATTGGGATTTTGATAGGAATTGAATCTGTAAATAGCTTTGGGGGAAGCATTGCCATCTTAATAGTAAGTGTCCTAATCCGTGAACGTGGGATGTCTTTCCATTTATTTAGGTCTTTAATTTCTTTCATCAGTGTTTTGTAGTTTTCAATGTACAAATCTTTCAACTTCTTGGTTAAAATTTACTACTACTTTATTCTTTTTTATGATATTGTAAATGAATTTTCTTTATTTCCTTTTTGGGTTGTTCACTGTCTGCATATAGAAATAGGACTGGCATTTGTGTGCTGATTTTGTACCCTGCAACTTTATTTTGTATGTGGATTCTTTAGGGTTTTTACATATAAGATCATGTGATCTGTGAATAGTGGAAATTTCCTTCCTTTCTAATTTAGATGGCTTTGATTTTTTTTCTTGCCTAATCTCTCTGGCTGGGGTATCCAGGACTATTTTCTCAATCTTGATCTCAGAGGGAACCTTTCAGTCTCTAACCATTGAGGATGATGTCAACTGTGGCTTGTCACATGTAGCCCCAGATGCTCGCTTCTAAGATTATTTTTATTGATATTTATTTAAATTTATCTTTATTGTTTAAAGTATTACAGATGTCCTCTTTTTATTCCCCCATTGATCCCCTCCACCCTGCATCCTCCCCTCAGGCCTTCCCCGTACCAATGTCTGTGTCCATAGGTTATGCTTATAAGCATATAAGTTCTTTGATTACTCTCTCCTCACCCACTCCCCCACCCCCACCTTCCCGCTGAGATCCCTAAGTCTGTTCTATGCTTCTATGTATTTTTACTGGTTTTTAGAGGGAGAGGGAGAGAAACATCAATTTGAGAGCAAAACACTGATCAGCTGCCTCCTGCACACCCATTACCAGGGATCAAGCCTACAACCTGGGCCCTGACCGAGAATTGAACCAGCAACCTTTTTGGTGCATGTGGTGATGCCCAACCAACTGAGCCACACCAGCCAGGGCTCCCTTTGATTTCTGACAGAGTTCCTTAAATGTCTGGGTCCAAAAAAGAAAACAAGTGTGTGTGTCTCTAAACTTTCGATCGACCCTACAGGGGGAAGTTATTGCACCTGTGCTGGTCCCCCATTTACAAGGTCCCCATGACCTACTCTGGCCCCAGCAGCAGGGCTGAAGAATGGGGGGTGGCAGCTGGTGGAGCACATAGCACTCTTCCCAGAGACTGCGCTTGCCCTTCAAGAACTTCCCTGGTTGCTGTGAGTCTCCATCAGGGTCCAGAGTTCAACAATTGTTATTCTGATCTTTTTTCCAGCTTAATGGTTCTTTTGGTGAAGGGACTGACCCCTAAAGCTTCCCTACTATTTTTTATGGTATCTCCAAACAGTGTCTGGTTTTGATGTTTAGAATAAGGGTAAGACTTCAGCCCTGAAAGCCCATTCCCATAGTTGCTGTGGTCATCGTCCCTGAGCTTGGCCCTCCCATGCTAGAGGAACTGGGCATTTGCCTCCTGAGTTGTTCTGGCTTTGGTGGCTCAGGGTCCGTTTCAGGGCCAGGCCCCCAGTAAGCACAGAGACTGAAGCAGGTTAGCCCTGGAGCTTGAATCACATTGGAGGAGAGAGTGTGAAGGAAAATGAGAACCGTGTACGGAGGTCAGACACATCAGTGCACCTGATTCCTTTTTTTTTTTTCAGGGTCTCTGGTAAGAAGAATGGAAGCAAAGAAGCCAAGAAGCCTGAAGAACCAAAAATCCGAAAAAAGCCTGGACCAAAGCCAGGCTGGAAGAACAAGCTCCGCTGTGAAAGGTGAGGCCAGGTGTGGGCTGCACTGCTGGGTGTGCGGCCAGGGCGGCAGCTCCATGGTGTGCTGTGTTGCAGGGAGGAGCTGCCCACCATCTACAAGTGCCCGTACCAGGGTTGCACAGCTGTGTACCGAGGGGCTGATGGCATGAAGGTAAGGATGGTTGCTCTTGGAGCCAGGGCGGGAGCCTGGGGGAGGTACCAGGTATAGACTCACCCAAAGGTGCCTGTGAGCCTGGGGAAATAGAGACACGAAGCAGTCCCACCATTGCTATGCTCCATGGGGGAGGATGCGCCAGCCTTTGTTCTTGGGAAAGCACCCATCTTGAGTGAGGAATGGTTGGATCTGTTCCTTTGAGGGTGCTGGGCTCATAGGAGGCAGCAGGTGCTGTGTGACCGGTGAGCTGTTGTCCCCCTACAGAAGCACATAAAGGAGCACCACGAGGAGGTCCGAGAGAGGCCCTGTCCCCACCCTGGGTGCAACAAGGTGTTCATGATCGACCGCTACCTGCAGCGGCACGTGAAGCTCATCCACACAGGTGCATGCCTTGTCCCCTTCACGGGAACAGCCCCCAGGGTCGTCTTGGCCTTGTGGGCTGTGTGTCCCTGGGCTGCAGTTTTGTCAGGTCAGTTCAGTTGGTCAGTGTGCAGAATTGGTAGCAAAGAAATCCCAGTGTCTTTCTGTGCATTTATTGTGGTGAGTTTTTTAATTTAAATTAACAATTAAAAAAAAGGCATGCTTTTGGGATAAGAGGAAGCCATATGCATTGTAGAAATGGTGAGAAATAAAAGCTCAGGCACAGCTGCCACTCTTAGCACTCGAGGGCCACTTCTCCTGGATCCTAGGTCGATGCTCAACCGCTGAGCCATGCCCAGCTGACAAGGGCCACTTCTCTTTGTTACAACCTGGGCTCATAGATTTGTCAGTTTCGTGGTATGACGCACACCACCCATGTGTCTGGAAACATGAGAGCCACACACAGACCCAATTGCCTCATGGCTGCTTCTGCCCAGAAGGCAGTTCCTGAATCAGCACTATCTCCTTAAAAGATCGATTCCTTACATCGGTATTTATTAATAGTTGTGCTTGGTTTTGAATTTTTTAAGAATGATATACTATAGAAAGTCTTATGTGATTTATACTTCATTCAGATTTGTCCACTTTGTTGTTGGGTCGCATTTATTTGTTGGTTTTGTTATACCCGTCTTACGCGAGACTGATTCACACAGAGACCAAACTGACCGTTTGGAGATTAGCGGGTGGCTATGACCGGGCTTCTGCCCTAAACAGACTCGCAGCCCCGAACAGTCTTTGCAGGGGGAATATAAAGGCAAAAAACACATCTTGGTTGGGGAGGGGGAGCAGGCGGGGGACTAGTGAAGCGGCAGACAGAAGCTAAGACAAGCGTTAATCAACCTTCTTCGGGTGGCTGTTCCCTGGAATTTCGTGGGTGGAAATCTTTCACAAAGAGCCAGGAGCAGGGGAGAGGTCATTGTTCCTACACAATAGATTCTGTTGCTCTTGCTCATCTTCAAAGTAGCGGCTGTCAGGGTAGGAGACGGGAGTGCTGAGATGGGGTGCACCATGTGCTCGCCTTCATCCCCACTGCCGTTTGTAAAGGTGATGAGAGTGAAGTCCTTGATTCTCCTGCGAAGGGCAGAAGATGATCCTCAGTTCTGAGGGGGATTCGTTTTACAGAGTGAATTCTGTCTCTAATGAAGGAGGTCAGGCGGGTAAGGAGACGGGGCGGCACTAAGGGCGAGTGTGAGGCAGAGGGGAAGGGCAGGCGCCCCCAGGGCTGAGGCTTAGGGCCCAGCCCCAAACACTGGGGCTGCAGCCCAGGCGTTCCTGGGGGCGGCTCTGAAACGTGTGGGAGTCGTATACACTGTGCACTGCATCAAACCGAGAGAGCCGAGCCCTAGGACGTATTAAGACTTTCTGGAGGTTCTGTTTGCCTCAGCCTCAGACTCCGGGCACTGGCTGGGAGCTGGGCCCCTGTCCTGCGGAGGGAGCAGAGAGCGAACTATAACTGGTGTGTGTCAGGCGTCACCCCCACACCCACCCTGCGAGGTAGGCTGTGTTGTCCTGCTTTACAAATGGGTAAACAAGGGCTCGAGAGGAAGGGACTTGCCCAGTTATACAGCAAGAAACATAGGAGCCAGGGTCTGACCCCAAGCCAGTGGGGCTCCAAAGCCCACACGTCTTCTCTCAGGATGAAACAGAAATTAGTCCTTTCTAATAAGGGACCTCAAGTTATACACTCAAGGACTCAGCCCAGCTGGGGGTGGGGGGCAGGGTGAGAACCAGAGACTCCAAGGGCACGTCTCCTGGACGGGCAGGTGGGCTCGCAGAATGAGGGGCAGAGAGAGATTACCGGGCAGTAGCTATCAAACAGCTCCAGCCACCAGTGCTCCAGGAGATGGCTCTGGCCACCTAACAGCTGTGGGCAGGGTGAGGGCCGGGCTGCTCCTGAGGCCTTGTGGCCCTAAGTGGGCGGTGCCAGGCCATTAAGCCGGCGGTTTCCAGCAGGCTTCAGCAGGGGGCCTTAGTGTGTGGCTGGGTGGGCTGGCACTGGCATCGGGGGCAGGTGGGCACAGCAGGACCCTCCCCCGGCAGTTGCCTCTGCTTTCTCTGACCAGGAGTTGGTAGCTTCCTCCCTGGCTTCCTGGCCTTGGAGATGGGAGTCTTCTGAGCCAGAGATAGGCTCCCTGGCTCATCTCTGGCCAGGATGGGTTTCAGCTGGCGGCGTCCACAGTCACGCCACTGCAGGCCCAGCAGGTCAGGGTATGTCAGGCAGCTGGCGCAGTGCCAGCAACTTCAGCATGCGTGAGGTGCAGCTATGCCGGGCTCGCTCCCGCAGTGCCTTCTCTGACAACGCAGTGGGCCAGAGCTCTATGCGTGCTTCTGCAGCACGTGGTCCACAGAAGCAGGTGGCTGCCTCGGGAAGAGCTGCTCCTTTACCAGGTACATGGACACAAAGATGGTGCCGGCCCACACCACATGGGGGAAGGGGAACTGCTGCATGCACACAAAGCGCTGCAACCAAGACAGCAGCTTGCCCAACAGCCCCTGCACTGTCTGGCCATCCTGCCGTGCTGCCCCGCCCCAAGGCCCAGCCATCTCAATCCATTCACACAGCTTCTCAGGTGGGGAGTGGGCCACTGAGCCTGAGATGGCATCACATAGGGATTCATGCAGTCCTGCAAAGTGTTGCTCTGGGGAATCCACTGTGATGGGTAGAAGCTGGAGTCGGAGCCTGGGCTGAAGCAGGTGATGGAGGCAGAGTAGGTGCTGGGGTGGCCACGAATACACCTGGAGAACTGGGCAGTGCCAGATCAAAGCAGGCCATGGGCAAGGGCTGTTTGAGAATCTGTAGTCCAGTGGGCACAGATGTAGGGGTGGGTGCAGGCTGGTCAGAGGAAGGGACTGAGGTGGGCACAGATGGGACCATAGCTGCATACAAGGGTGCCTGCCTGAGGATGTTGAATTTTCGGAACATGAAGTCCACAGAGCTGTGGAAGTTGGTCTTTGGGGTGGTCTCTGTGGTCACTGGCACCGCAGGCAGCTCTGAGACTGTGCTCCCTGCTTCTGGCACCCCCACAGCTACAGGGAGCTTGGAGTGCACCACAGGACTAGGGACCTTGATAAGAGGAGCCTCTGCCATGGGTTTCTTTACATTCAAGTGCAGTGCCACCTCCTCCCTAAGTGAGCAATGCACCCTCAAAGGGGCCTCCTGGGTAGACAAGGTTCCCCTGGAGTCTTTGTCATAGCTGTCCTTGGGGACTGAGGCTGGATCAGGCTCAGGTGTGGCCTCGGGTGTCTGCACATCCAGATAGTCACAGTAGGTGGCCAGGCTGAAGACATTGTCAATAATGGGCATGGGTGGAGAGGCAGGGGGCAGTGTGCACCCTGGTTCTGTAGAATAGACCAGTGCTCTTGGGCGCAGGGTGGGAGTGTAGGTGGGGTGCAGGGAACTAGGTAATCTCCAATAACAGTGGGTGCCCCGGATGTTCATTGAGCTGGGGCTGGAGCTGGAGCTGCTCTTTCCTGCAGCGGGGCAGCCGTATAGTCTTCTCAGCATCCTGCACCAGCTTCTCTGTAGGCCTTACAGGCTCTGCGCACGGCTGACTGGCAGGCAAAGGCTGGCATGCTCGCTGGAAGGCACTGGGCTGTGGCACAGCCTGAACACTATTCTGGGAAGGTAGTGTCCCCCTGAGCCCCGGGGATGCTCCACAGAGATAGGTCATCCCATGCATAAGGAAAGCCCAGCATCTGGGGGCAAAGTCTAGTGGGCACTGTGGACTGGGGTAGCTCGAAGCTTGCAGTATGCGTGTTGGTTCTTTCCTAGGGGTGGTCTCCCCTGGCTGCAGGTGGTTTTTTGGGTTTTTATGCTGGCTTGTGAGGGCCCTTGTCCTCCCTTACCCCTGGTTCCTCTTGGTTGATTACTGGACTCCTTTAGGGCTGCTGCTACTACTACTCTTGCCAGCCTTTTTCTTGTTTTTCAGAAGGACTATCTTAGTTGTCAAAATCTTTTTGAGCTACTTTTACTAGTTGGGGTAAGTTCATCCCTTGGAACCCTTCTAATTTCTGTAGTCTCCTCCTAATGTCAGGGGCCGATTGAGTGACAAAGGCTGGGTTGATCGCCCTGCTGTTTTCCGGGGCAGCTGGGTCTATGGGAGTACAGACTTGCTAGGCTTTCTGCAACCTTTCCAGGAAAGCTGTAGGTGATTCCTGAGGGCCTTGGGAAACTGCAGTGACTTTGGACAGATTGACTGGTTTTTGGGCGGCCCCTTTTCAGGCCTGCTAGGAGATATCGCTGAAAATTGTTCAATGCATCCCTTCCTGCGGAGGTGTTGGGGTCCTACTCCGGCCAATTTGTGGGAAAAGATTGTTCAATTCTCTCTCTCTTCTAAGGAATCCCCCCTGGGCCCAAGACTGCCTTACGGGCTTCCTTTTTAATTCTTTCACTTTCCTCAGAAGTGAACAGGGTAACCATGAGTTGCTGACAATTGTCCCATGTGGGGCAATGGGGGTGAAACACAGACTCTAGTAGCCCTGTAAGGAACTGCGGTTTTTCCCAGAAAGGGGGATTCTGGGCTTTCCAGTTGTATCGGTCGCTAGATGAGAAAGGAACATATACAAGAAAAGGGGATCTTCCCCTTGAGTCCCCGTCTGCCAGCGCCAGCGGGGCCTCTCACGGGGAGAACAGCACAGTGCCTCCTGTATGGCCCTTGAGGTGGAACTGCTGGTCTGAGGAGGGGAGAAGAGTGAGGGAGGCATGGAGGGGGGGATGGGA